TACTGAACTCGTCCGTAATAATTATGTGATCCGCTATCTTGAATATCCTGGTTTTCACGAAGGAATCTTAATCTCTCACACCGAAAACTCCCAGATACCAATTTTGAATAGTATCATAATAATTACAAAATTATGCATGGGAGATACCTTCCAGGTTTTTCGCTATTCAGTGACTTCGTGAAGTGATGATGACGCGAAACCCAATGTTTTTTTTCTCCCAAGAAAAGTACTATACGCGAAAACTAGAAATCAAAATTATCTCGTGGGTATTGGTCCTGTAAATGATATTCTCTGAAATCAAATCAACAATACTGAACTCTAAAGTTATGAAAGTATTGAATGCATCATCCATCAAACTCCACACTATGAATAACCGTTATGAATATTTAGAGAGTTCGTTATGGAGTATTCACGAAACCACTGTGAAATTATACAGTTCACGTGGAAAGTTTCGTTCCCCAGAAATTTTCCTCGTATAAAGCTTCAATGGGAAATCTTGAAGAATTTGCATGTCTACTAGGGTAATAAATTTCGCTAATGGAAATTCAATACGATCCGATCGTAAGTTGGGAAAGGAAACAATTATTTTAAAGTACCTCTTCCAAGTTTCAATTTGCCATGGAATAAATTGGACGTCTGATGGTCTGATTCTCAAGTATCATATAATCGCTGTGAACAATATACTTCGAAATTTAGTGGTAGTGGTCTGCATATGATCAAATATGTATTAGAGGTATAACATCTTTGTATTTGGAGTGCGTAAATATTGGGTACCTATATAATTTGTTTGTTTTTGATATAAAATCAGTCAATTGATAACTCAAAATCGATAATGTGGTCCATTTTCGAATTTATCCCATAATGTTTCCAAGACTCCTGGTGACAATTTCGCTGATCTTGACATTTTCTCACAATCTGTTCAATTACAAGTATCTCAGAAAGGTAACGATGAGAATCCTCTAGTGGAAAAAAATCAATTAGTCGGTTGCAAACAAAATTTCCTAGAGCGCTCCGAAATATTCGCAAAAAACAACACAAAGAGGAAAGAATCACTCCAAAACTAGAATTCCCATGCTGTTCTACTCAGATGGCGTTATACTTTCATTTTGTCGGTGGAAGACTCCTCGGGGTGAATATAATGCCGACTTGATTTCTGTTTGGCTAGGCTTCGCTGAGTCGGCTGAGGACTGCTGGCTGGAGACTACACTGCACTGATGAGAGTCAAAGAGCTCGAAACCGGTCTGTGGTTGTCTAGCGGCCTGGCTAAATCGAAATCAATAGGCATTCAGGAAAGATTCACTCGAATCAGTATTCGTTTATATACGAGTCGATGCATAGATTTCGAGAGGATTTTTTTCTTTATCGCTTGGAGCGCACGAAAGGGGATCCCTATAATGTTCAAAGAACATCGTGCCAGGGAAGTAGTTGTTTTTCTCCCGAAATCTACCATTGTTGTTCATTTTAGGAACATTATGTGGAAATGACTTTGATATAATGATTAATTATAGTAGGTAGTTGTGAGAATGAATCGCTTCGATTATAAAATATGGCTTCTTCATTCATAATAAATGTTTGTTTAATGGGTATAAATGAATATTATATATATCTGAAATTTCTCAATAAGGATTTATCAACTAACTTCTGATGTGACAAAATTCCCCATGATTTTGTAGGAAGCGACATTTCATTAACTCTGGTGAAAGCATATTGTATACCCAGTGGCGAGGCCACTATAATAACCTCTTGGGTTTACCTATAATTAAATTTTGACGAAGTTAATCCAAACCAAATTATTTGAGCACAAGTATTTTTAATAAGATCTGAGGCAGATGATTAAACTTGGGAATTGACGTTGATTACTTTGGGACATTTGAAACATTCAAGGGTTACCAATATATTGAATTATGAAAGCGTTGACGAACCATGAAGTGAATATAGTTCCTACTAACTATATTGAATAGTCCAGAATGATGATGTAAATATAAATTTAGTGGATCTGCAACTCTGATATTTGTATCTACTTATGTTATAACAGAATGAAAATATTATTGAGAACGAATTTGAGTGAAATCCCATCTCAAGAAAAAAGCAGAGCAAAAGTCAACATTTTGTTTTTTATCGAACAATAATGTGAAGTGATGTGCTACGATCATGATAGTTTGGGTAAGAATAAATATTTCGCAATTTCATCCAAGTTTTGAGAATTTGAATAATGTCTATCAAGCCTTGTTATCAACTTACAGGGTGGTGCAACAGAAAATCAACACTTCGATTTTAAGCTTGAAAAAACGCTCGGTCCTATTGATTTCTGATTCGAGGCGAAACGATTTGTCTGCTCTCTTCATCCACGTAAGTTCAACCCTTTTCCCACAACTCCTGAAACTCGAATAGGGATGAGGGTTGATACGATACCTCATTTTGAAGAATTCATAGAATACTATCCGACCCGCTAATTTTGTGTCGACATTGTGTCAACAATAAGATAAAATAGTGAAAGGGGCAACTCCATCATTCTTATTGGAGTAGAATTCGAAAAGTAGTTAGGGAAAACGTAATTGAGTGATAAACATTCAAATATCCCTTATGCACTGTTATGTCACTGATTTTGTAGTTTGCTTTACGTTAAAATGATTCTCGTTTTTTTCGTGAATATTCCGAAAAAGTCTCTCATTAAATCACAGACAGTGTCACGCCGAACAAAAGATACTCGCAACCCTTGGACAATGAAAACTTGTAATTAATTTGCTCGCAGAGCCAACAAGTATTTTGTTTCGGTTGTGATTAAAAACTTTTTCATGCAACGAGATAACGAGCGCATGTACAATTCCTGTGGAACAAAACTAGTCATGTAACAAACAAAAACTTTTAATAATGTAGGCGTGCTTTTAGTTTCAAATCTTTGTCGTTGTTTGCATTCGAATCAGATAACAGATATTTTTTTTTCATTGCTTAGAGCGCACGAAACGATATTCAATTTCAATTCAATTTATTCAATTTCTCTCAGTATTCCATGTACAAATATATGCATCTTTAAATTAATAATAATAATAAATTATTTTCTTTTTATGTACTATTTGTTATTTGACAATTTTCGGTTACTGAGTGCCCTACAAAACATCGTCACGCTAGACTTGAAGTCTGTCTTGTGATCTCTGTTATGTATGACACCCAAAGCTTACAGTGGATTATTTTGATGTGGCAAGTAATAAATGTTTACTAATACTTCATGGTATTCATATTAAGGAAGGAAGGAAGGAAGATTGGATGAAAGTCCCAGAACTGGTTGATCATAAATTCTTAATTAATTATATAATTGTGATTATTAGAAAAATTTGTCGGGATGGCTCAATATATATTTCTTTGTTTCCTTTTTGAAAATATTAAAGTTTTTCATTTCTTTAAGATTTTTTGGGAGGGTATTGTAGATTTTTGGCCCGTAGTGAAAAAATGAATTTTGTGTAACAGTTTTTTTAAAAAATTCGACTTTAATATTCGAGTTTGTTACTGATCGAGTGTTGTTGTGTGAATTTGTGTTGATCTCGATTAATTCTTTTTAGGCATTGATAAGCACAGATTGATTGGATATTTAATATCTTGAATTCCTGGTATAATTGATTTGTAGAGAAAAGTCTAGGTTTTTTAAAAATAATTTTTAATAATAAATTTTGTGCAGTCTGCAATGGATTGAGATGGGTTTTAAATGTTGGTCCCCAAGCCGGAATGCAATATTGTATTAGTGATTCTGCAAGTGAGGTATATAGAATGGCTAGATTTTTTTTCGATAATATGTCACGTAATTCAAAAAATTTGTGCATGAGAACTCGTAGTCCTTTTGTGACGTAATAGATATGATCGGTCCATTTCAAATGCTGATCTAGGAAGACTCCGAGGTATTTTATACAACTAGATTTTTCTATAGAATGGCATTTACAATTATCTGTGATATCACAAGAATTAGTATGCAGTTTGAGTTTGAGGTCTTCTGGTTGGTCTCGAATCGTAGGAGAAAATGTTATGAACTTTGTTTTTTTAACGTTTAGGGACAACATGTTACTATTTAGCCATGTATGAATTTTTTTTAAGTCTCTTTCTGCAGTTTGTTTTGTTTCTTTCCACGTTGATCCGGTAAATATTATAGCAGTGTCGTCTGCATAGCATATTACATGACCTTGCATACCGTTTATTTTTGTTATACTATTAATGTACACCAGGAACAGTATCGGACCCAATACTGTCCCTTGTGGTACTCCTGTTTGCACTTCTTCATCATGGCTTATTTTATCACCAATCTTAACCCGTTGTATTCTTCTTGTTAGGTAGTTCTTCAATAATTCTAATGCGATACCTCTAACACCATAATTGTATAGTTTATTCAGTAATAGTTCGTGATTAACGGTGTCGAAAGCCTTTGCCAGGTCTAAGAAAATTGCAAGACATTTAGATGATTCGTCTAATGCTTTCACCGTTTTATCAACTTTTATCAAATTCCATTATGGCGTTTTCGGTATTTGAGTTTTTTATAAATCCAAATTGTTGTTTATTTATAATATTGTGTTTGGTAAAGAATTCAACAAGTCGTTTTTTGACACATTGTTCGAAAAGTTCTGCAGGATTATTTATAACAGATATAGGTCTGTAGTTATTTGATTGAGAGACTTTTCCCATTTTAAAAATAGGGGTAATATTTGAAATTTTCCATTGTTGTGGGAGTTGACCAGTAGAGAAGCAGAGATTAATGATATGTATTAATGGATCTAGTATATTGTTATGGATATTTTTGAGTGTATTGGATGCGATTTTATCCGGTCCAGGTGACGTATTATTTTTTAAATTTGAAATTATTATTATCAATTCGTTTTTAGTTACAGGTTCAAGAAAAATTGATCGATCTAATTTGGTTTCGGAAAGAAAGTGTTCAGGTAAAGTTATTCTATCGATATTTTTACACATGTGTTTACCTATGTTCACGAAATAGTTATTGAATTCATTTGCTTTTTTTTGATTATCATTGGTATTATCACCGTTTTCTAGTGTTATATCATTATTCTCTACTGTTTTTCTTTGACTTTCTCCGCTTATGTCTCTTATTATATTCCAGATTTTTTTATAGTTTGTGCCGGAATCAATAATTTGTTGTTTATAATAATCATTTTTAACGTTCCTTATTAGAGTATTGAGTTTATTCCTGTATTTTTTATAATTTGTTTCCAATTCTGGAGAGTAATTTTTTAGTAGTTGTTTTTTTAGGATATCACGTTCATTGATCGATGTTATAAGGCCTGCGGTGATCCAAGGTTTGATTTTAAATAACTTTTTATTTCTTACTAGATTTACCTTTGTTGCCGAATCTATATAGCATGTAAGTTTATCAATAAATATATTATAAGATTGCTGAACATCTGTTTCTGCTATAACATTTTCCCATTTTTCTGAACTTAGCATTTGATTTAATTTAGTGAAATCGGTTTTTTTATAATTTTGTTCAGTTGTTTCTACAGTCACTTTAGTTTTCAGGAATGAGATATTTACAAAAGGTGTGAAGTGATCTGTTATGTCCGTTCGAAAAACTATTGGTGTAATTGATATTTTATTATTGAGGTGGGTGGGTTTTCTCATAAAAATATGGTCGATAGCTGTTTTTGTATCTTTGGTAACTCTAGTTGGCACGTTTATATATGATAATAATCCATGTGAACCTAATATGCTCAAGTAGTTGTTTGTTTCATTACTCTCTGTGTTCAATAAATTGATATTTATATCTCCTATGTAAATTTCTATATCTTGTTTATGCATTGTATTTAAGTAATTTTCTAAGTCGTTTAAATAGTTTAAACTATTGGTTGCTGGTGGTCTATAATATGCAGTTAAACCGATTTTATTATTTTGCGGAAGTAGGTCTGTCGTGAATTTAACTCTCAGAAATTGCGTTTCATTTATCGGTATCACTGTGATATCGGCGGATATGTTATTTTTTATGTAAATCATTACACCGTCACATTTGTTAATAGAAGATTCGTTATAATACTGTTGGTAATTTGGAATTGTGAAATTACTTATGCAATCTATCATTCGTGTTTCAGATAGTACGATTACGTCTAGAAATTCATGTGCCATTTGTATATATACCATTAATTCATCTAAGTGTTTCCTGAGGCTTCTGATATTAAAATGTATGACTCCCAGACTCTGTCTTCCTTCATCCAATCTTCCTTGAAAGTAGTCCGAAAATTTATCGTATACTTTTGTTTCTATAGTGTGATTATTATCTAAATCGTCTATAAATTCAAGCATATTCCAAAAAAAAGTAAGGAAATTAAAAAGATAACATGATCTGAGGTGTGACTCTTATGATCTAGTGTTTTTCTAGTGTTATTATACAGTTGCGTATGATAATCTTAATGAAATACAATTTTATACACATTTAATATAGAATTAGCAAAATAAAAAATAGGAATGGATGATAGTATGTTAGACCGTATCTTCTAGGTCCTTCTTGCACCTAATCAACAATATCTTATCATTAACATTAGCGTAGATTTTCCCATTATGAGTCCAGGTATGTTTAAGCCCATATTTTGAAGTTGCTTCATTTAGGAGTTCAAGTCTGGTACTGGTAAGGTCTTCTTTTATCACTACGTTGGAACCCTTCAGGAGCTTCTTTTTAGAGTATATGTTTTGCTTGGTCTCATTTTTGTTGAGTTTGAGATAAATTCCCCTAGCTTTAGTATTATTTTTGTTTCCAATTCGGTAACAAATTTGTATGTCGGCCGGTAATATGTTTAAGTTCATCTTGGTCTTAATCAACTTTATAACTTCTTCTCGTGTATCTTCTTTTGACTTTTCAGGTACATTAAACATCCTCAAACAGGTCGAGCGACTGGCTTGATCAATTTTATCTATAATATTTTTCATTTTGTTATTTTCAATTTCTTCATCTTTCAACGATTTTTCTAAGAATTTTATTTTATTTTCGAGTTCCAATTTATCTTCTTTCATAGTATTTCTCAGGTCCGCCACTGACTCTTCTAACAATGATAGCTTCTTATCTATTGTTTTTATGATGGCAGTGGTCACATTATTCGTGAGTGTTTTTATGAATGTATCCGAATTTATACTTTTACTTACAGCTTGATTAACTGCACTTTCTATCTCTTCTCGTACTTCTCGAGTTATGACCATATTTAGGTAGGTATCCACAGATGAATGCACTTGTTATTGGTCAGTTTGTAGAGTCGAGAGTTTTTTAACTGTTATACTTCTCGGCTTATTTGATTGATTTTGAAGAGCACACAATCAGAACGTTCACTACTCTCTTGCCATAGTCAGAGTATCTCTATAATGTTCGAAGAATATCGTGCGTGCCTAGAGAGGATATGAAAAGAAGATAGGTATTTTTTGAAGGTTATAATATCTTGGCAATACGTCTTCAGGCAATGAATTTCAGAGTTTTGCCGTTCCATAGACAGAAGAGTTTTGATGAAGTGCTGGATAGGATCGGAGTTCGTTAGTATTTTGGTGGTTGTCTGTATACCGAAGTAACGACTCATCTCCTCTGATGATCCTATATCGTCTTTCTTCACCAAAAGGTCCTTGGGAGTAGAAATGTGAAACCTGGATGATTTGATGCATTGTCACTTATAATCTCCCTAGCAGCAGAATTATAACCGATAATTTTTTTCAAGGACGCGAATGCTTTTGTTGAAAGAAAATTGTCCTGATTCGAAGACAAGGAGAATTTTCTATCAACAAAAACATGAGTTATACCATGAAATGAATTATAAAAAATTAATTTTTGTGGAATTCGTTTGTGAAGGTTTTATATTTGCCATGGATTTCCATCGAGTAACGGCCGAGTCAATTCAAAGAATGAAATACGATTAAAAACTTTCGACATGGCACACATTGCCACGTTTATTCACAAATACAAATTGGTGCCTGTTTAAAAGAGTTTCAGACATGGAACACAATATTTTTGTGACATTTCACGAAAAAAAATCATATCAACAGAACAGTGCAACCAATGAATGAAAATTCAATATGCAGAAACCAGATGAAACAGTTTTGGAGGGAATAGGATCACTCCACATTCGATGCAAGTTAGTGCCATTTATCGCCCTGTGGAATATATATCAATGATATCGAAGAGAACAAACTGTCGTTCTGAAATCTGAGAACCGAACTGAAATCGGTTCTTTTCCCAAGTTATAATCTTACGGATTTAGGCGAAAATTTCAGATGTTCCACTTCAATTGCAAGGCACTGTAGATTGATTGAAGAATATTGGATCAGAATGGGGATTCAGTGATGGATAGGAGAGATAAAACTAGAAGTGAATATCCTTTGCTGATCACGATAGAAATTGCATTTTCTATGTTTCAAATTTGATGAAATAATCAATATTAGCATTACCATCCGATTCAAACAAATCCCTTCGGGCAAATCCAACACCTCATTTGCTGTTAATGATCCGAGTTATCATAATTATACTCCCAATGGGTAATGCAGCAATAGTAAATTATGCGATCTCCTGTAGGACATTCACAAATGCCCTACTAGCCGATCATTGAGGCAATATCTATAGTTTATGTTCGTTCGGAACTGAAACTAATGTTATTGTGATTATACCAGAGGATTGAGAAGCAATATTATAAGTTTCTAAAGTTGAATAGTCAAATTGCTTGGAGGGACATTATTGAAGGTATTTTGTGTGTGTGCGATTTCGAACGAGACACTTTGACATATTTATTTTCATGAAAATGAATAATTGATTGATTCTGATTTTTCGATGTGTTCTCAATCGTCTTTTATCAATTGCTTCCGCTTCTCTCCTAAGATATGTGAGTCAATAAGTATTCAGCCATTCTCCTTCTATCTCATTATATTCTTTGTGAAAAATATGAAAACGATATGTCCGAATATGATGAATGAGCAGATATTGAAGTCTATTTCAAAAATATTATTTGTTCGTATTGATTCTGTTCCAGGTTCGAATTAATTGAAGCCCTGATGAATCATCAAGTAGATACTCAAGAATGTCTGATATCGTGAACTCTGTATCTCTGTTTGATTGCCTAATGAATTAATTCTGATTCTTCAAACAGTTTATTCCGTCTTGGGAGACATCCGATTCTGATTCGAACATAGAAGGGATCGAAACCATGGAATGAAAATTATGGTCGTCAATGGTGATATAATTATGTAGCTTATTATTAGTTATCTATCTGGATGAATTCAATTCATTTCTAACAAAAAAAATTAATCCGTATTTTCCGCGTGAACGGCTCGATCATCTTACCTTTTTCCTGTTATGTTATTCTCAGGAGAAGATTCTTACGAAAGATAAATCAGGAAATTCAATATGGTGGATCCGATATGGCAGCCGAGTTTTGTAATTATGATCCGGTTCTATTCAAAACTTGTACCTAAGGGTTTTCGGGGTCAGAGATTATGATTCTTGCCAATATGAGGGACGAGTTTTCAAATTTTGTTTAGATTTTTATCAACTTTGGTATCTGATGGTCTTTGGGGTCGAAAATTAGGATTGTTTCCTCAGAATTCTAAAATTCATGATGGCCGATCCAATATGGTGGGGGTTATTTGTTTGTTCATCCTATTTCATTTGAAGTTGGTATCTGGTGGTTATGTGTATTTAATAATGATTAGAAAATTTGGTACGAGTAGATACATATTTGTCATTGGTGGCTATCTTGAAATTTGATGACGAAACTGTGTTTCAAAATATTTTCTTTTTCATTCTCTTCTGAGTATAGTTTCTATTTCACATAATAAATTGAATATTTTATTTCCAAAACCAAATGCTTCACCAAGACATCTTGTTTTGCTCACTTAGGTCACTTCCCAGAAAAAAATATCTCTTAAAATGAAATGTTCGTACATTTCCTCCATTTACCATTCACCTCCTCTCATACACCTTCTGTATTTGAGCTAAATTCGCAATTTCTCGTTTTAATTTATATCCTTTGTGTGCTTGTTTGCTCGAAATGTTTGATAATCCCGATTAGAGAAACTAAGGGAGATGACGTAATCTCGCATAGCCGGAGAGGACGAAATTAAAAGAGAAATTCTGATGACTCGAGTAATAAAATCCGTGAACAAACTTGAATGCATATTTTCCTCAAAGTGAAATCCCTATGTACAAGTGGGAACTAGGACTATCTACATCCAAGGATAATCAGAATCCGAAAAACACTTTCCTGAACGTGTTCTCGAAAATGCCCACTAACATATGTATGCAATGCCTCTCACAGCTTCATAATAAGAATGACAGAATGCTCAAGTCTCACAAGATCTCTGATGATCCAAAGTTTGTATGATACTCTTTGATTCATCAAATGGGGCATTAATAGCCTGATATATTTTCCCCATACCTGACATCAGCGGACCAGTAAGTGGTTCCATATGAGGGACTCAGTATATCAGTACCTGCGGCGGGCAGCTGCTGTTCCCAGTGCTGGGTGCCCAGCAATCATATTCAGTTCCCCGGCATAAAGCCTGTACAACATACTCGACACATCGAGTTTCCCATAGCAAGCCCAGCATAATATACATGAATGATGGGGCTGTAATGGCGAATTATCGACATAGTAACATACCATCGAGATAGTGGTTTCAGGGGTCCAATGAATCTGGAAGTAGTAGTAACTATATTTTTTCATAAAATAACCAGTTCATCATAACTGTTCATACCAAACAAACACAATCCAGTTCTCGAGGAAACAATTTCATGAATGACACAATGATATCTTCTCAACCTCATTCTTCTTTCATGATGAAACTTCACAGAATGACTGCTAACTGCCTGGTACCGGATGGTGGATATCTACATCTAAATCAGTATCTTATATTGGGTCTCGTATTGGGTAGCATACCTTCAAAATGGATTATTCGTTGCGAGGTACTCCTGAAGTATAGAATATGAGGAATATATAATATTTTCTCCACTGATAACACTGGAAAATCAACATCTTATATTAATTCAGATTTTCATTTTTATTCAAGGAGCAATGCCATTCACAGTATATATTCGGCATTGTTCAGTTTATTACTGAAATATTGAAATATCATAGTAGTAGTTTATCGAGTATATATATACTAAAAGGAAATTCGACCTGGCTGTCATGAAAAAAAACGCTGTAATAAAATTCCATGTGAAATTGTGAATAGCTACAAAACCGAGTGATGATTTGAGAGACATTTATTTTGATAGAAAGCTTGTACTCTGCCTGGCTGAAGTTACGAAGAATGATGATATTGCGAGTAGATATTATAAATACAGTATTCCTTAATATGTTCGGAAATATTCAAACCTCATGAATGTCGTACATGATACCATAAAACAATCATTGAAGTGGTACATCATATCGTACCGAAGACCATAATAGCTGAAATTGTTTCGATTTGTCAAAAAATGTGTATTTACCGAAAGTCATGGTTATTTGAATTCACACATGACAGTGACAGCTCACGTATGATTTGGTAGTTACATTTTCATCAAAATCAAGTATTCAGATTACTCCAAACATTTTTCATACTTCAAGAGTTGCTTTCAACTATAATGAGATTTGCAGTTTTAACTTTATTTTGTTTCAAGTATGTATCAATTTCGTTGGTTGCATACGCATCGGTATCTATGTGTATATTACATATTAGCATTGACACTATTGACAGTTTTCTTCTACCTAGGTGAAATTTCTCGATAAATTCATCATTATTCACACAGGTTCAGAGAGTATTACTTTTCATTAGAGAAAAACCTCGAAGATGGTGATTTCTCAGGTTAGTGGTGAAATGACATAATTTTTTCACAATCATTTGAAAAGATTCAGGAATGTTGTTAGCATATGGAAAAATTATCCGACCTGCAAGCAAAAATACATGAACTAGTTTTTGATTTCTGAATGTGTACACAATTTGTTACTGCAATTATTTGTAATATATGTAATTCGGGGGTTTCATTTGAACAAAAAATTTTTCGATCAAAATGTGTTATGACTAAATTGATCAATCGATAAGTGACACAAAGAATAATCCTTCAGATAGAAATATGTTTCTCAGTTATGTGCGACTCATTTTGAATAGCCTTGACCACATCCTATTCATCCGCGAGGTGAAATGAAAAAACAATTTGAATTCAATTTTTTTCGAAAAAATTACACATTCAACTTGAATAAGTACCACTATGCAGGTAGTTTCATTTGAAAAAACATAGTTGCTGACATTTCCCGAAAAATCGAAAGTCTGCCATGTTGGATTGGAAGTCCGAAATGGTTGCTCATATACATACATAGTATGTAAAACCTGA